CTGCAGAGGGGCTCCTGGGAGAGCTCCGTGGGCGGCTGGGCCACGGTGCCACCCCGGAGCCACCCGCAAGGCTTGCAGGCCTGGCATCGCTGCCCCGTGGCTCCGCATCCCATTTGTAAGGCAGGAGGATCCACTAAACTGGGGCAGCGCGGCGGGCGTGCGGAAGCGGCTGTGCCCAGGAACAGCTGGGCCCCGGTGGCAGCTCGGTTTTGTTCGGGAAGCGGGGAAAAGATTGAGGCTGTCACAAAGCGCCTTGTCAGATAGCGGTGATGCATGGCAGGCCTCCCGCTCCTCGCTCCCGCTTTTATTAAATAAATCTTTAATTAGGTCAACAGCTACCGGCAGAGAGAGGAGCGCAGGGCGTCCTCTGCTCTGCTCTCGCCGTGTCGGCAAGCGATGGACGCTGGCTGCTGGCTCCTGGCAGTTCGCTGCTTCCCCCCTCTGGGTTTTTCCCTTGGGTGATGTGATCCTGGAAGCATGGTCGAGATGAAGGGAGGCAGGAGCTCGTGTGCCCTGGGAGAGGCAGAGCCGCGTGCCCTCCCCAAAGCTGCAGAGATTAGGGGGAAGGGTTGGGAATAACATGGCCACTGTGCTTGTTGAGGTCAGGCTCTGGGCCCTGTGATGTGAGAGGTCAGGGCTAACCTTGCCCCCGAACTCTCCAGCAGCTCCCAGCCAATGATGCCGTGATGGAGCTGAGTGCGAGCAACCTTTGTGGGGACACTTGTACTGGTGGGGGGGTGACGCTTTCTCTGTCCCCTCCAGGGCCTCCCTTCATCGTTTCCCCTCCGGAGAACATCACAGTCAACATCTCCCAGGATGCACTCTTCACCTGCCAGGCCGAGGCGTACCCCGGGAACCTCACCTACCTGTGGTACTGGGAGGAGGAGAACGTCTACTTCAAGAAGTGAGTTTGCAGCTGGCAGGGCAATTTCTCCTCCTCCTGCTCACAGATCATGCTGGGCCACCAGCGAGGTGGGCGCTGCCCCGGGTCTCCCCATGATCCTACTCCTCTTTCCTCTCACAGTGACCTGAAGTTGAGGGTGCGGATCCTGATCGACGGGACGCTGATCATTTTCCGTGTCAAGCCAGAGGATGCTGGAAAATACACCTGTATCCCCAGCAACAGCCTGGGCCGCTCGCCATCAGCCTCTGCCTACCTGACAGTGCAGTGTGAGTACAGGCAGCAGGGCCTGATCTCGGGCGGTGGGGCTGGGATTGATAAAGCCCAGCTCTGAGGCAGCCACAGAGGCTCTGTCATCCCAGTATGATGGGATCAGTATGATCCTGGGAGGCTCACGCTGATGTGGCAGCAGCCTTTGGATGAGTATGCAGTCGTCCTCAGCAGAAGGCTGAGAGCATCCCACGTGTGCTTGTAGGAGATGGACAACAGGAAAGCAAATTTCCTGAGCATCCTGGTAGCACTGCTCCTCTGGGACCAGTGTCTGTCTTTTTGTGGTTTTGGACTACGTGGGTGTCAAAGATTAGGGCTCGGCTGGCACCTAGATGAACCAGGGACCTTTAGTTCAAACCATGACAGTGTGCATCTTCCGTCTGCCCTCATCAGCTGCATCATGTCGGGCAGGGAAATGCCAGATGAGGGCTCTTGGTCTCCACGCCTTGCTTGGATTTTTTGCTGTTTATTATGGGGGCTTGTTCCCGCGGCGTGGTTTTCCTGTCAGCTCGGTAGCATTGCATGTCATATTTTTCAGGCAGTAACTGATCTGAACAAGCAGAGGAGAAGGGGCTGCAGCAGGAGCGTTGCTTCCCACGCCTGTTCCCCCCGGCTCCCCGGGCGGTAATGGGTAGTGTGCCACCGGCGTCCTGTGGCATTCGACAGTAATGGCCTCAATTGCTGTCCTCACAATTGCAATATTGCTCTGCTGTAAAAGGCTGTGGCGGCTTTATTTTCTTTTATAATGAAAGACAGGCTTGAAAGTGGGCTCACAACTTGGGTTTTGAAGGCTGCCGTAGAGCTGCTGCCTGTAGACCTGGTGCTGGTTAGTGGGAAGCCCCACACTGGCAGGGAGCCGCTGTGAGAAGGGCTGTGAGGTATGATTGTGTCCCCGTAGGGATGGATGAAGGGGCAGGGGGGTGGTGTGAGCAGTGCTGTGCCCAGGCAGAGGCAGATTTGGGGCTTGGCTGTGCCTGGCCGGGTGGCTCCTGGGAAAGCATGCAGCCTCAGGCCATTAAATCTGCCCTGCCGCTAATCCAGGACCACTCGTCAAGGCTGATAGCTGTTAAAAATAGCTCCAGTGGCAGCAAACCCAGTGTTTGGACAATCTGCCACGCAGATCACCCCGTGCAAGGAGGCGTGCTTGGCTTTTTGTGCTGAGAACCCCTTTCCTCCAGAGCAAACTGCCCTGTCTGTGCTGGGCGGGTGCCTCGTGAGGGAGGCTGCCCACCCACTGAAGCATCTCTCGGATGGGGACATGGCTCTGGGTCATTAGTGAGCTGGGCTGGCCCCCAGCCAGTGACCTAGTAGTGAAAGGCTCGATCCCATTACCCTCTCCCACGCTGCTGGAGCCCTTGATTACATTTCCTAAGAGGTGGAGCTCAGCAGAAGGGGGGCAGAGCCCGCTCCATATGTGGCGCAGGCAATCTGGGTTACGGTGCCATTGCCGGGGGCACGCGGTCCTGGGGAGCACTCGGGGTTGTGTGTGTCGGTAGGGAGGCAGCAGAGCTCCCAGACTTGGTAGCTTTTGCCCCAAGAAAGCAATAAGGAGAAAAGCACCCCTGCATCCTCCTCCCTGCCTTCCTTTCACCCCCAGCTTGGTGTTTTTGCCTCAGCAGCACCCCAACAAAACAGATTCATCCCTTAATGCAGCATAAGCCCTGTCAAGATTTTCCCATAACCTTCCGCTGCCGGTGTCTAGACAAGATTGTAGAAATACTCGCTCTTCTTATTAAAAGTAACTTTTTTTTCCTTTAAAAAAAAAAGCTTCTTATTAAAGAAAGTCTAGATTCTCTCCAACCCACTCGCACTTAATTAAAAAGCTCTTAGAAGCACTGTTAATGACAGATTCTAGACTGGAGGATTGCGAGACGCCTCGCTGCGTGGGTGGTGCAGTGCAGGGGGGGTTAGGTGTGTATTTTAAGCTTTTTGCATCCTGTTGGGAAGGGTGGAGGTGGCTGATGCTCAATGCAACCCAGCCTCAATGAGGCACGAGCTGCGAGTACAAACAGATAGGAGGTAAAGGGCTCACGGCAGGCAGGCCACAGATCCCTTCTCCCATCCTGGTTGCTGTAGCTGGTGTGTATTAGGGCTTGGGAACTGAGTTAGTTTTCATTGCTGGTGTGCTAACCCAGGCTGCAGGGAGGGCGGGTGGCACACCGGGTGTACACTGTGCATCCCTCAGGCTGAATGTGATGGAGCAGCTTGGGCTTCAAGTCGGTGTGGAGCTGGGAGCCAGTGTATCTGATGTTTCTTCTTAAATGTAACTTTTAATGAACACCCCGAGCATGAGTGAGGCCTCCCAGAAATGCCAGGTATTACGGTGGATTTGTGTATAGCAAGCCTGGAGATAACAGCCTGAGGGAGCCAAGGTGGAGTTAGGGTTTGGGATTCATTATAGAAGTCGTGTCGATCCTCGGAAGCCAGGCAGTGGGGGAGAGATGGGCTCTGTCCCCGTGCTAACACGTGCTGCTGCTCTCCCAGATCCTGCCCGCGTGGTGAACATGCCGCCCGTCATCTACATTCCCATCGGGATACACGGATACATCCGCTGCCCGGTGGAGGCAGAGCCCCCGGTCACACTGGTCAAGTGGAACAAAGATGGACGTCCCCTGCGAATCGAGAAGGTAACAAAACCCCCGGGGAGGGACCTGTTGGGGCTCTGCAAACGTCCTCTGCAAACGCCAGTGAACATCACCAGGCACCCTGTGGGTCCAGCCTGCCCGTCGGGAGGGAAGCAGCCCCGTGGGGGGGATGACATTGCTTTTCCTTATCAGCTGTGGGCAGAGTTCATTCAGGTTCTTGTGTGGAGCCCAGGGTGCCTGAGACACGCTGTGTCACCCAGACCTAATGCCCAATTCCCTCTAAAGTCATCTCCTGATAGTCGTGGGGTTTTTTTTCAATGGTAACTGATGGTTAAAAGACGCTTTTAACAAGTCTCTGTCTCCCTATAATCATGGTTTGATAGTCTGAGCAAGGATATTAGTCATTAAATATTTAAGGAAAACACTTAGTATTTTAAATTTTTTGCTTAAATATTAACGATCCTAAGGTTTAATGCCATTTAAACCTGTTGCTGCTGTGGGTTCCTGGTCCTTGGTGCCCTCAGCCCCTTGCGTGGAATTGTCTCCTTGGATGACTTTTACTTTAGGGTGTGATACACGCTGATTCTTTTGAAGAGGTGTGTGGGGTGGAAAGCAAGATAAACCTGTGTGTCCTTGGGTGCATATGGTGCATGGCAACCCTTCCTGGGAAGGCTGCATTTGGATGGGCTGATCCTGCCCACGTTCCCTCTCCCTGCAGTTGAAGAGATGGCTTGGATGCTGGGAATGGAACTGGGCATTTCCCGGAGACATGGGAACTGCCCTGGGCATAGGTGGGGGGCTTGGCTGGAGGGAAAATAATCAGCTGTGGTGGGTATAGGTTAAGTCAGCTCCCTCTTTCTCCCTGTTGCAGTATTCTGGCTGGAACCTGCTGGAAGACGGGTCGATCCGGATCGAGGAGGCAACCGAAGATGCTCTCGGCACTTACACCTGTGTGCCTTATAACGCCCTGGGTACGATGGGCCAGTCTCCCCCTGCCCGACTGGTACTGAAGGTAACTTGCCTGCCACGGTCCTTGCTTTGCAGCTGGCATATGTACTGTGAGTTGTGTCCTTTTGTGCCAAGAATTGCTCCCGGGGCTGTGCGGGGTGCGAGAGTCCCGGGCCAGGCAGCACAGATGCCCCACACTTGTCTGCTTTTCCACCCATGTTACTTGCCTTAGCAAAAGTCTGTCGCCTTTTGCTCTGAGCCTTGGCTCCCTTACCTGTGCTGAGGAAGGTAAACGCGGGCCCTCACAAGCATCCTTGAAGGGGAACAGCAGAGGCAGACCCTGAGTGTACCCTGCCTGCTGCAGCTGGAATACCGGGCCAGAGCAGCAGCATGGGTTTAGCCACAGGCAGGGTCACAGTGTAAGGCTTTGGTGGCACTGGATCAGGGTAGTTGGAGGAAACATGTCCCTGGGACAGCCTCTTTGCCAACAAAACACTTAACCCTGCTGGACTTGGGTTCACAAAGGATTTTAATAAATGGGTGATTTGAGCTCTAGGGATGGTCGGTGTGCTCTTGTTGCGTGCGGAGCCTGAGGCGTGCTGGGCTCCCAGAGCAGTTCCCGGTGCAGCTGGGGTGGGAGCTGCTGCCTCTTCCTTCCCTGAACGAGAAGTTCTGTGCTTGTGAGCAGTGGTGATTCATGATGTCTCGCTGGGGTGCACGTGATAGTGCTTTGTGTAGCACAGACACATCTGCTGAGACAGCCTCCGAGTCGATGAAGGCAGGTCCATGTCTGATGTGGCGTGGGTGGTTTTTTTTCCTTTTTGCCTCCTTAAAACTTAAACAAGATGTCCTCGTGCAGCAGCTCTTTGGAGAAAAGCTCCATTGGGGTGTGTAATTTGCTGTACCAGAGAGCCTTTGCCATGGCTTCCCTTGGGATGCCTCAACCTTACCCAAACCAGTGATTCATCTGGTTTGGAAGAGGGCTGGTTTTGGTGGTGGGGAGGCACTTGTGGGCGGTGAGATTTGGTGTGGGTTGACTCTCCTTATCTTTTCCTTGGCTGCAGGACCCCCCCTATTTCACGGTGCTACCAGGCTGGGAGTACAGACAGGAGGCAGGGAGGGAGCTGTTGATTCCTTGCGCTGCTGCTGGAGACCCCTTTCCCATCATCGCCTGGAGAAAGGTACCCGGCCTGCCAGACAAATCTGCAGTGCCTTTGGCTTTTGGTGAATATTGCAGACAGAGAAGCCACACTCTGTCCCGGTAAGAACAAACTGCAGGTACAGCTGCTTCGCTTTGGGCTGAGCCACGGCCGTCCTGTCCCGCAGGTGGGTGGGGGAAGCCCAGCTTGTGGCCACTGAGGACTCCAATCCCATGAAACCACCACGGCAGCCTCCGCAGAGCTGAGCGCTGCCCCTGCCCCAGCCCCCCTTCCTCCTCCTCGCCAGTGCTGCCCGCAGGACACCCTCCTCTTTGCCTGCCTGAGAGGTGGTCACCGGCAGGACGTGGCAGCCCTGGTGATGCTGTTCTCACAGTGGGAGGGGACATGCCACCAGAGCGTGTCTGGGGGTATCCTGGCTGTGTTTTGACAAGGGTCTGAACTGGTCGGAAGCTGCTTTGCTGCCCTGTGGTTTCAAAGACCCTGGGAAGAAGGTGTTTTAATGATGCTGGACTGCACATAATGATTTTAGGGTGTCCCTTTCTGTAGAACAGAAACTGGTTGCCTGGGAGCAGCCAGTCCTCCTGCAACCTTCTCTTTGCTTCCCACCTTCACAGCTCAGATATAGGAGAGCAACTGTGCAAGGGACCTTCTGGGATCTTTGTCACCCTGTCAAGATCTTTCCTCCATGTCACCTGTCCCATTCTTTTGGGCCCCTGAGAGTGAGCGGGCTCCCTGTGCTGCCCAGTGGGCACAGTCCTTGGTCCTTGTGGTGTGAGATGTTGGATTTCTTTGAGTTCCTTTTACTAGCACAAGGAGGACCGCAGCTTGCACAGATTCCAAGTGACCTACCTAAAACTTGTTGGCCATTTAGTCCTTTTCTCTATAATATTTGTCTTTTCCCCACGTCTTCACCATTCTTACTCAGGTTTCTTTCCAACTCCCCTTGTGCCTTCTGGCGGTCCTCCTCATGTCATGACCCCAGCCTTATCCCACCCCGTTCCCCCCAATCCTCCCCTTCAGTTGGGGCTGGCTTGAGTTTGGCTCAGTTTCCCAGTGCCAGAAGCAAACTTCCTTGCTCCCTGTTAGCCCAGCAGCACTGACCAGTCTCTTGAAGGACTCCTGAAGACTTGGGCATGGTACTAGTAACCCCACGTGCCTATCTGTTCCTCTGCCCATCGTGCTTTGAACCATGGGTCCCTGTGTTGATCGGTGGAGATCTTTGCATGAAGAACAGCTGAAGAGGACTCTGGACAACGTGGGATGTACACAGCTTTGGCTGATCGGTGTAGACCTGAGTTGTTCCAAGATCCATCTATTCCATTCAGCTTGAGAGCTCCAGGACACCTCTGTGCACGCCATCCGCCCATCTCCCCATGGGGCTCTTGCCACCCAAACCTCTGCCATGAGGCGTCCTGCCTTTCCTCCACTGGCTGAGGCCGAGGGGCAGTCTGGGCATCTCCTGGGGCAGGCAGTGCCTGGGAGGGTGTTGCTGGGGCGGCCGGTGCACCCTCCTCTGCAGCGGTTTCAGCTCCAGATGCTGGAGGTGGAGCCCTGGCGCGGGCTCGGTGTCCGCATGAGCGCCGAGGGGTCTCTCCACGCGTGCCAGCGCTGGGCGTGGGCCCCCCTCACGCATGCCTCTCGCGTTGCCCCGCCAGGTCCTCTCGAAAACGGGGGAACCGGCTGCCTTGCCGCGACCGGAGAGACCAGATCCCTTGCTGGTGCCCGGCGGTGTCCCCTGGGCCACGCAGGTAGCTTAGTGACCCCGCCGCCGCCTCGCCCTGCCCCGCCACCCGCTTCTGAATCGTGGTTTTGTTTCTTTTTTTTCCTCTCTTTGCCCGGCTTTTCCCCCCGCCCCGCTCCTTGCCCAAGGTAGGGAAGCCCAGCAGGAGCAAGCACAACACGCTGCCCGGCGGCACCCTGCAGA